TAGTAGTAGTAGTAGTTGTAGTAGTAGTAGTAGTAGCAGTGGTAGTAATAGTAGTAGTAGTAGTAGTAGTAGTAGTAGTAGTAGTAGTAGATTAGTAGATTAGTAGTAGTAGTAGTAGTAGTAGTAGTAGTAGTAGTAGTAGTAGTAGTAGTAGTAGTAGTCGTAGTAGTAGTAGTAGTAGTAGTAGTAGTAGTAGTAGTAGTAGTAGTAGTAGTAGTAGTAGTAGTAGTAGTAGTATGTAGTAGTAGTAGTAGTAGTAGTAGTAGTAGTAGTAGTAGTAGTAGTAGTAGTAGTAGTAGTAGTAGTAGTAGTAGTAGTAGTAGTAGTAATAGAAAAATAAGTGTTATTAATTGTTATATCTAGAGATTTGTAGGGCCTGGCAGCGCGTCCGAGCAAACGTCGGCGGCGGCGGGGCGCACGAGGCGCGCGGGGCCTCGGCTCCTCCTCCGTTGCAGGGCCCTCCAGCGGTCGCTGCCCGCGTCCATCTCTGAGGGGCTCAGCGGGACGGGCGGCACCACGGCGCCCTCGAAGGACGGCGCCCCCTTCACGGCGACGCACCAGGCCGTGCCAGAGAGCGCGCCCCCGTGCCAGCGACAGCTCACGGCGATCTCGAGGCACCTGCGGTCGTGCACGCCCAGCAGCACGGCCGACGCCTCCAGGGCCCCGTCCCTGGCACTCGCCTGCTCCGTCGGCTGGGGCTCGGCCCCGCCCGCGTCGACGTCGGCCTCCAGCTCGAGGCACCAGACGCATGCCGCCACAGGGGGCCGCAAGAACGGGCTGCCCCTCAGCGCGTAGCTCCGCACGCTGTTGGACCAATAGGTGGCCAGGTCTGCCGCACAAGTACAGGCCGCCTGGGCGCACTCGGCCTCCGCGCGGCCTGGCAGCAGCGCCTCGCGGCGGAGCCGGGCGCGCATCGGGCGCCCCCCGGAAGCGCCGCCCGTCGCTGGCGCCTTCGGGCGCTGCTTCATTCGGGGATGGACAGACTCCCTTTAGTAGAACGTGGTTTAGTGAAAACGACCTCGGGCCAAACCTGGCGGGCGCAAGCCTAAAAAATGACGGCCGCGACGCCCTCTCGAGAACCGAAAACGGACAATTCACTAATCGACGTGTCAGGGTAGGAGGTCTGTCCACTCCCGATTCATAGGGGGGTGTCGATCCGTAGCGGGGGGAAACCTGCGCCTCTCGTGCCTCTCGTGGGCCCCAGGAAGGGGCCCCTTTAGGGCACAGAAGGTGCGTTTTTCTCCCCCCCCGCTGCATCGCCCCCCCACCCCCGGTTACTTGGGGCCTCCTAGATGGGGTCGGAGTCTGGAGCAGATGGGGTCGGGGGATCTCGCCGCACAGATGCATCACAGATGCATCGCCGACGTGGGCGATGCATCGGCGACGTCGACGTGAAGCAAATCGGGCTCCACATTGAGCCACATTGGCAATGCATCGGCGATGCGGCGCGATCCTCCGACCCCATCTACTCCGACCCCATCTGGCGGATTTCGGAAACCCTGGACCCAAAAACGTTTTCACCGCTCTTGGGTGCGCATCTTTTACTTCCGCCACCTTCCGCCGCCCTTCCGCCGGCGGAGGCGGCCTCCTTTGACTCCTGTCGACCTTCCGCCGCGGAAGCGATGACGACCCCTTCGATCCTCGAAGGCAGGGCCTCCTGGAACGCCTCACCCAGGATGCCCAGAACCAACGCACCGCCCGACGCCTCCTCGCGCGGCGGGCCGCCGGCGCGGGGCAGGCTGGCCCCTGGGCCCGCGACGTTCGCCCACGCGGCCGCCGCGGCGGCGCAGGGCGGGGGGCGCTCCTCCGCGCGCGGCGGCGCCCGGGGGGGCGGCCGCCCCTGGCGCTGCGCGGGGGCCGGGGCGGCCACCGCCAGCGCGGCCCAGCGCGGCGCGCGCCGCCATGGCCGGGCGGGGCGCCGCCCACGGGCGGGGGGAGGGCTCGCGCGGGCGCTCGGCGTGGAGCCCAGGCCCGGCGCACGCCCCGACACCCCGAGGTGGAGAAAAATGATGACAAGGACGGACGAGGACGAGGAGGAGGAGGAGGAGGAGGAGGAGGAGGAGGAGGAGGAGGAAAAGGAGGGGGGGAAGGAGGAGGGAGGAGGAGGAGGAGGAGGAGGAGGAGGAGGAGGAGGAGGAGGAGGAGGAGGAAGGAGGAGGAGGAGGAGAGGAGAGGAGGAGGAGGAGGAGGAGGAGGAGGAGGAGGAGGAGGAGGGGGGGGGAGGAGAGGAGGAGGAGGAGGAGGAGGGAGGAGGAGGAGGGGGAGGGGAGGGAGGAGGAGGAGGAGGAGGAGGAGGAGGAGGGGAGGAGGGGAGGGAGGAGGAGGAGGAGGAGGAGGAGGAGGAGGAGGAGGAGGAGGGAGGGAGGAGGGAGGAGGAGGGGATGTGGACAGAATCCCGGCCGCCGAGGCCGCGTTTTTGAGCTCGTGCCGGGGCTGCACCTGCCCCCCGGGCAGTGGAGGGCAGCGGCAGGGGAATCGGCGTCGATCGCCGATGGCGGGCGCGGCAGCGTGGGCCCTCCCCCGCAAGACCTGATGCCTCTCGAATGGCTCCTCCTCCTCCTCCTCCTCCTCCTCCTCCTCCTCCTCTCCTTTCTCCTCTCCTCCTCCTCCTCCTCCTCCTCCCTCATCCTCCTCATCCTCCCCCACCTCCCTCCGCGAATCCACCTAGAGCCCCCGAGGCATCCAGCAGAGACGCCGACGCTTCCCCGCAACGCCCCAAGCCTCCGCGAACGCCCGTGAAGAGCCTTCCTGGCGCTTCCTGGAGCATCCTGAAGCATCCTGGGTCATCATGGGACCTCCTGGGGGCTCCTGGGGTTTCCGTGCGTCTACTGGTACCTCCTGACGCCGCCTCGGGCTTCCTGATGTTTCCCGCGGCTTCCTGGGAAGCTGCTCTAATCCCCCCGAAGGCTCCCGTGACATCACAGGAAGCCCTGGAGCCTCTCCTGAAACGGCCTGGGGGACTTTCCTACAACTTGCTGCCCCGCTCCGCAGCCACCGCACTGTCGCCGCCGCTCACGCGCGGGGTAACAGCTATGAATGTCTGGGGGGTCAGGTCCTTCGGGGAGCCCGCAGGGGCGTCAGGAGGGCCGTATTAGTCGATCGTCTCCGTGGCTGTTGGTTCGCCCATGTTCGTGTCAACATGCACTTGGTGCGCGAAAGTTCTGATCCAGACTTTCGTTGCACCGCGGGCCCAGCATGACTTCCATCTAGAACTTCAAATTCTGAGGCCGTCTCCCAGGGAGGGCCCCACCGCCGAGCATCGCTGCCACCGCGGCGGCTGCCGAGCGCGGCCAGCGCGCCGATGCCGCGGGCGGCGTGCGTAAGCCCCGACCCTGCCGGTCGTCCGGCATGCGGAGCCGTCCCACCAAGTCGAGAGGTCAGGGGCCCCTCCTCCTCCTCCTCCTCCTCCTCCTCCGCGTCCTCCCATCTTCTAATGCTCCTTCTCACCCCCCTCCTCTATGTCTAATCCTGATAGCTCCACCTGGCGCCTCCAGACGGGTCCGTAGGCCAGGCTACCCTGAAGCCTCGACGCTCCAACAGCGGCACTTATTGGAGGACCAGTCGTACTCAAAATAGGGATATCGCCGTAGCGCCGCGAAACGTCGCTTTACCATTTTCAAAGCTACAAGGATGGGGCTGGCTCGTTTCGAATAAATGCGGCTCTCGAACTAGCCCTCGCACACTCGTCTCACACAGTCCAGCAGCTACTCGTACGGGGTGGGGGTCAGCATATAGCTCTCGCCTTCGCGCCGCGTACAATCATCGAACCGGCTTCCCAAAGCTGCAAGGATTGAGCGCCGATCGTTATTAACATGCAGTTATCACTCGAGCACGGCGCGCATTCCATTTAGAAACTTCCAATAATTACAAGAAGTTAGGCTGGTCCGCTTTCAACATGCGGCTATCGCTGCAGATATCCTCTGACTGTAAGGTCCACAAATCGAAATTGAGCGGCAGCTACACGGACCGAGGGTGGCTCCTGCTCAGAATGGCGCCATCGCTTGAGACTCCAGTAAATTATATGACAATGACCCTGAGACGGTGCAACACATACACGAAAGACGGGCAGATATTGTTCAAAACAGGGATATCGTTGGACAGCTCCTTGAACTTTATAAGACTACCTCTGTGCGTTCCTTTTAGCTAGAGGGATGGAGGATGGATCCTTCATAACACGGTCTCGACTGAGTGGTAGGCCCACTGGACGCTTGTTATTCAAGGGGAGCACTTCCCGCAGTGGAATAGGATGTTCGTATGGACACATGAGTAGCGGACGACTTGGGACGGGAGCGTGTATTGTAGCATCGTGAGTGCATCCTGGGTCTCCTCTGGTCCTCCTCCTCCTCCTCCTCCTCCTCCTCCTCCCCCTCCTCCTCCTCCTCCCCCCCTCCTCCTCCTCCTCCTCCTCCTCCTCCTCCTCCTGCTCCACCTCCTCCTCCTCCTCCTCCTCCTCCTCCTCCTCCTCCTCCTCCTCCTCTCCTTCGCGCTGCCCTACCACGCCCAGCGGCCCTGCCACCAGCTCTGCCCCCGCCCCTCAACCAGCCCTCGAGGACGAGCCCCCGGCGCAGCCCAGAAAGAAACAACGACATGCCCTGCCAGCTGGGCCGAAGGCCCCCGACCCGCTGGCGAACGACGCCCGTCGGCTAACGACGCTGGCCTCCTCTGACGGTGGGCGAAAGGCACGGCGCCACGCGCACCGCGAAGGCGGCAAGGCCGCACGAGCACGCCTGCAACAAAATGTACATTTTCTCCGGAGGAGGAGACGAAGGAGGACCGTGTTCTACATCAGCAGCAGCAGGGTCAGCAGCAGCAGCAGCAGCAGCAGCTGAGGGACGGAGGATGAGCAACATCGGCAGCCGCAAGGATGACGAAGAGCAGCAGCAGCAGCAGCAGCAGGAGGAAAGGAAGGAAGGGAAGGGAAGGGCGAGGGAGGGGACGTGCCGCGCCCCCCCGGCCCGATGCCCAGATGCGGCAGCGCACACGCAGTGGGATGGCGGCTGTGAGCTCACGGAAGGGAAAACCACTGCCCTCAGTGAGCCCGCGGCTACCCTCCTGGCAGGTGGAGGGGGGCACAGGAGCAGCAGCGCACCGGGGCCCAGCAGCAGCAGCGGCACCGCCAGGGCCGCCCGCCCCCCCCCCGCACCTGCACGCACGACGGCCCACGGCGGCGGCGACGGCGACGGCGGCGCGGCAAACGATGGCGCGCGGACGACGGTCGAGGAGGATGAGGAGGAGGAGGAGGAGGAGGAGGAGGAGGAGGAGGAGGAGGAGGAGGAGGAGGGGAGGAGGAGGAGGAGGAGGAGGAGGAGAGAGGAGGAGGAGGAGGAGCGAGGAGGGGAGAGGAGGAGGAGGAGGGAGGGAGGAGGAGGAGGAGGAGGAGGAGGAGGAAGGAGGAGGAGAGGAGGAGGAGGCGGAGGAGGAGGAGGAGGAGGAGGGGGAGGGGAGGAGGAGGAGGAGGAGGAGGAGGAGGAGGAGGAGGAGGAGGAGGAGGAGGAGGAGGAGGAGGAGGAGGAGGAGAGACGACCGACGACCCCGCGAGCCAGCTCGAACCCGCCGGAGTTCGCCCGAGGGAGCTCGACGCCGCTTCTGCTGCCCCGCAGGGTGCCCGGGGCCGCGCCGCTCTCTCACAGCAGCGGCCGCCTGTCCTGCCCGAGGCCCCCGGCAGCCCGCGAGAGAGGGGGAGGGGGGGGGGGCGTGCACCTGTTAGGGAGCAACTACTGGGAGGCTTTCGTCGGAAAAATTAGATAGGGATAGAAATATGAATAGGAATAGGAATAGGAATAGGAATAGGAATAGGAATAAACCCCATTGGGGGGCTGCTGTGCTGGAGTGGTCCTCGGATCAAGCCGTATTCAGCGGGATTAAGCCGGATTAAACCGGATTAAGCGGGATTAAGCCGGATTCGTCGGAAAAATTACATAGGAATAGGAATACACCCCATTGGGGGGCTGC